GGCCGATTTTGACCCCAGGGCTTTAATTTGAACAATCTTGGTAGAGGTCCACCAGACAATGCCTTATGCAAAATATTCAAGCTCTAGGCCTTTGTGGGCCTTAACAAGAAGATTTTTTAAATTTTTTCTTATAATTCCTTTTGGTTGCCATGGCAGCCAGATTTCTGCATGGAATGAAATTCTTTAAACAACTTTGAAAGCCTTCACGCAAGGATCAATCCTGCCAAGTTTGGTTGAAATTGGACTAGTGGGTTTTCACAAGAAGATTTTTTAAGTTCACTTTATAATATATATAACACACAAACACTCATACACACAGGTGAATCGCTATATGCCACCGCATCGCAGATGCTGCGGTGGCATAATAATTAAGAAAATTTAAGTTACTGTCAGGTATTTTATTATGTAATTCAGTGTTCCTCATATTTTTGTAGTGATTTAAGACACATACATGTACGTATACTGTAGTGTATTTCTTCTTGAATTTAAATTATTGCCAACTGCAGTATGGTCTATTTTACGACGCCGTCCGTTGCTATGAAAAAAACTATCGGAAGTAGTATTTTTTTTCGCGCATGTGCAATCTGCGTAGGGCAGATCACTATTTTAAGAATTTATATACAGTATATAAATAACCATCTGTATTTCCCCTGCTTAACATCTGGATTAGTTTAAGTTACACTACAGTGAGAAAAAAGGTATTAATGAGTGTCTGTAACACAGTGACAAGTAAAGGCTGAAAAGGTCTTTTATAAAGGTTAGAAGGACAGGTGAATAAATAAGATATTTCATGGTAATCTCTACATCATTGTGATAGCACAAAGATGTATGTAAAATGTAATGTCAACTATGTATATACAGAAAATAAGCAATAGCATCAATATAATTTATAGTATAATTATTACACTTCATAAAAAGTAAATGAAAACATAAACAAACGCCCTCTCAAAACAGGTGATTACCAAACCTATAACGTATTGAAAGCTAAACCTGTAATATATAAAATGTTATATACTGAGTACACACATTATAATGAAATTTGTTTGTTTTGTTTACGAATATTTCGGAGCACCTTAATTAACGATTATCTTGGACTTATCATGGATCGATTGGACGTAAAATGAAAGGTGTAGGTTCTAGATATATAATGATAATTCACCTGTTTTGAGAGGGCGTTTTTTATGTTTTCATTTTCTTTTTATGAAGTGTAATATTTATACTATAAATAATATTGATGCTAAAAAAGTTAAATTAATGTAACTCGGTGTTCTTCATATTTTTGTAGTGTTTTGAGAGACATACATGTACGTATTCTTTAGTGTATTTATCCATGAATTTAAATTATTACCAACTGCAGTATGGACATTTCTACGAACGCGGTCCGTTGCTATGAAAAAATCGATCGGAAGTAGTATTTTTTCGCGCATATGCAATCTGCGTAGGGCAGATCACTTATGAATAACCCACATGACTACTTAATCTGTATTTCCCCTGATAATTATCTGAATTAGTTTAAGTTATACTACAGTGAAAAAAGGTATTAATGTTGTAAGAACATGAGTGTCAACCTGTAAGCACAGTGAGAAGTAAAGGCTGAAAAGGTCTTTTATAGCGAGCTCGACGAGCTGGCCCGAAGGGCCTGCTCGCAAAGCGAGCTTTACGGTAACGCGAGTACCGTGGTGATGGTTTTGAAAACTTTCGTCCAAAGTACCGAATAAGACACATCGCACCTTTTCGAATTTCAAGATAACGATAAAATCCGATGTACTCTGATTGAAAACGGAAGCGTAGACTGGTGTCCTGCGCACTTATATAGGAACCATAATAGAAAGGGGGAACCAGAATAAACGAAAGCAGTGTATAAAATACCGAATGACAATTTTAAAACAGAAAATGTAAAATAAAAATGAACGATTATTTTAAACTCTCTTACGGTAAAAGAAAATATCGAGCTCGCTTTGAGGCTTTGCCTTTTTCATATTAAAGTTAATCTCTACACCACCGTGAATGCACAAAGATGTATGTAATATGTAATTTAAACTTTGTGTATACAAAAAGTAGTATCATCAATATCATTTATAGTATAATTATTACACTTCAGAAATAGTAAATGAAAACATAAAAAATGCCCTCAAAACAGGTGATTACTTTATCTATAACGTATTGAAAGTTGAACCTGTAAATTTATTATCTATACAGTATATTTTATATGCTGAGTACACACATTATAATGAAATGTGTTTGTTTTCTTTACGAATATTTTGGCATGCATAATGTGAATAAATATATTATATGTGTACGATGATTTTATCGAGCTATTCAAAATGTCGTGTGTGTGGGTTCACACAATTGCATCTTCTAATCTCGGTCCTTTACGTCAAACACTTCGGATAAGAACACCGAACACAAAAGTCAGAATGCAGAGAACTTGAGAGTCCAATATATTAGACGTAACAGGCTTGTTATAGTTTTTGTCGGTCAAGTCTGACGTCTAATAGTTATTGCTCAAAAACGCATAGCATCATAAAAAAATCCAAAAATGTCTATTGTCCTGCCTTGCAAGCTTTATTCAAAAGATTATCATATTTTCTTTCAATTTCATGCTCAATCATACACAAAAACTGTCAAACGATGTACTTATCAATTTAAAATAAAATATAAACATCAATCTGTTTTTGTCTATCAGCCATACTGGTTAAACAAGGTGCTTTACAGATTGATTCCAAATTTTTGAACGGAAAAATATATTCAAACACACTGACGGTGCATGAGCAATTATTTCGTTATAAAAATATTCCGTTAGATTGTTCTGACTCAGTTAAATGCTTGCATTTGAATTAGCCAATCAGATTTCGCGCACTTTACGGCCGCCATTTGTTTATCGGCTGTAAACGGAATTGAAATACATGAGAGGATTTAATCATGATTTTTCGGATGTGACAGTTTAATTATTTTGACAAAAGGTATTTATTTTTTAGTTTTGTTCATAAATAGGTCAAAAAATATGTAAATACACGCTGTCTTCATTGTTTTTCGTTCCGCCCGATTTTCTGGCGGAACATGCTATGGGTTTTTGAGCAATTTCGATATGACGTTGCTTTACCCAGAAGCAAAAATATCTCAAAGCGACGTCATATTTATAGGACTAAGAACTTGAGTTCTTATGATAACTTGACGGGATTTCGTCGGAAACCTTTTGTATAAACAATCAGAGACAATCATCAAAAGTGGTAATTTTCACCTTTAAAAAGTGTGATTTAGGTTTTAAATTAAGGTTTAATAATTAAATTTGCCTTACATCTTGTATCATGTGTCAAAAACTAATTTATAGTCCATTTTTTATCACCTCAAGGTCCTCTTCATGTTTAAAATCTGGTAATTTTGAGTATAATTCCCAATATATTATAATAATTATAACAATAATTACTGTTTAACAAGCATCTTTAACGTCTTTTACCTAAATAAACTATGATCAAATCTATATTTAAATACATTAAATCGCAAAACATGTATCTCCTCCATAAGGCTGCAAACCAAAGGGAAATAACTCGTGAATTAATATAGGTATCAGGCTATAATAATTACCGTACTGTCCATTCTGTACATAACGCAGATGTTGAAATAATCCAAAAATAATGCTGAATTGTGCAACATGGGAGGGGGTGACCACTTCGCACAGGAAAAGGACGATGTTTAAAGGTACATGTTCTTCGAATTAAAAGAAATAAATCAGCGCATACCACTGATAGGACATTATATATTCTAGAACTCATAATAAACTGTTGTAATGATTTATTTCATAATTACTTTAACAAATATTAATAGTTGTATGTAATGAATTGACTTTAGAATGAATATTGCATAAGAGATCTGATAAATTTATTCATGTTAGTATAAAACTTCGCCGTTACTGTCTGACCAAGGGGGTACGGTATGGCTCAGTATCACGCCGTCGACGCAAAAGAAGACAATGAATATCATTTTTTTCTGTGCAGATGAGACGACTTTTAACTTCTTAGGTGAAGGCGATCACGGTTTTTTTTCACATAGATGACTGATTTCGAGGCAAATCCATATCTCACCAACAGTCATTATTCGTCGCAAGAATAATTAAATTTACATTTCTGCATTTGCTTCATTCAGCTATGTTTGTGTGTCGTAATTTGTTTTGTAAATTCAACACGATCATCTCTCTATTAAATTAATCTGGAAGTGTCAGATAAATTGTCCATTCAAAAATTTAAAATTTTAAATTTTTAAAACCCAAAAACCCTTTAACCTTGATTTTTACTTTTTAAAGTTTTTAACCATTTACATATATCCCATATGTTTTGATCTCATAAATCAAAAAAATCATCACCATCATAACATCTGATTTTTAAAAACATAAAAAATTTTATGTTTTAACAGAATTTAAAAATTTTAAATAATCAAATTTTTACTTTATTGGAAAATTTAAAGAAAATTTGGGCTTTTCCCAAACCAAAACCATTTTTCCCGTTCGTAATAAAAACATGCCATTTTTCATATATCATCATCAAAATCATCATCGCATGAGTTTTACAAACATAATAATTGTTATTTCTAATATAACTTTTATGAGTTTGCTTAATCAAACTAGTACACAATTTGTTCATCGCCACCAAGCTTCTTTGTCATTTTGTAATATACACTACACATTATTTCAGCAGTCTTCGTTCATAAACCACTCCCTATTGGAGTTAAAAGAGACTGACAAAAGCATGATTGTTTCAAAACTTTTTATTCACAGTTTGTACAGTGTAATGTTGTCAAAATTATATCATGAAGATATCGTTATTTAGAAAATGATCTTACAAAAACATGTAGTAGATATTTACAATTTTAAATAGTCAAGAAACTTTGATATCCAATCATCATTTCTTCTCTTTTGTGTGTATTTTCATATGTTTTGTAAGTCTACTTTTTGTTGCAAATTGTATCACATAATTCGCATGGATATTTCTTCTCTTCCGAATGTATCAGCATATGTTCTTTAAGATAAATGTGTCGGGCAAAAAACTTTTCACAAATTTTACATTTGTATTCCTTCTCTCCTGTATGTATTGCCATATGTGCGACAAGATAGCTTTTTTGAGTAAACCGTCTGTCACAGATTTTCGCACACATTTTTTACATTCTTCTGAATGTATTTTCATATGTCTACTAAGATAACGTTTTTGAGCGAATGCTTTGTCACATATTTCACATTTGTATTTCTTCTCTCCTGTGTGTAGTAACATATGTGTTTTAAGATTATTACTTGCATTAAATGACCTTTCACACATACTGCATTGATATTTCTTCTCTCCAGTATGTGTCCCCACGTGTATTTCAAGAGAACCTTTTCTAGAAAATGCTCTGTCGCAGATTTCACATTTATATGCTCTTTCCCCTGTATGTGTAATCAAATGTGATTTAAGGATAGTTTTATGAGAAAACGAACGGTCACAAATATCACATTTATATTCCTTTTCTCCAGTATGAATAATCATATGTGATATAAGTAAAGATTTGTGAAAAAACGAACGGTCACAAGTATCACATTTAAATTTCTTTTCTCCGGTGTGTGTAATCAAATGCCTTTTAAGATTACTGTTTTGAGTAAATGTTTTATCACATATTTCACATTGAAATTTCACTCCAGTGTGTCTCGCCATATGTAATTTTAGAGAATTAAAATGTGGATAGGATTTTTCACATATTTCACATTTATATTTCCCTAAGCCTGTGTGTATCGTCATATGTCGTTGGAAAGTATGGTTATCAGCAAATGATTTGTCACATATTTTACATCGGTATTTCTTCTCGCCCGTATGTGCTCTCATATGTCTGTCAAAAGTACTTTTTATAGAAAATGACTTATCGCAGATTTTGCATTGATGATTTTTCTCTCCTGTATGAATTCTCATATGTCGTTTAAGATATTTATTTCGAGAAAATGATTTGTCACATATTTTGCATTCATATTGTTTTTCTCCTGTGTGTATTGTTAAATGCTCTTTCAAATAATGTTGATGAGAAAATGATTTTTCACAGATTTCGCATTGAAAACTTGTATCACTGGTGTGTATTATCATATGTTTTTTAAGAGTTTGTTCATTAGCAAATGATCCTTCACAGACTCCACATCTATATTCTTCTCCAGTGTGCATTGTCAAATGTTAACCAGTATATACTTATTTTGGTCACAAATATGACCTCTTATTCATAATAAGATTCCTTTCAAATAACTTCTATTCGTAGTATTGTTTACACAGATATGACAATCTAAAACTTGTACGTGTTCTGTATTCGCGCGAATTTTGCATCTGGGTTTCTTGATGCCTAAAATTGTAAAAAAGACAAAAAACAACATAATTACGTCCTGCATCGAAGATTTGCGATATATTTTTTAAATATATATACTGGTATAGTCAACAGTTTTCATCTATTCAAACTCAATAAACCTTATAGTTTTATATATGCATAAATCATACTTCATAATATCGTAAATAATTGATATGATGAATATTCTATCTGTTCAAACTTGTATCTTTCAGTTACAGTTTCCGTTCCTTTTCTTGTATGTACAGATAAATATATGAAAACAGATAATAAGAAAGGATGTAATATAGAAATTAATTCAGCAGTCGCTTTTACCTCGAGTTCTTAACCCCAAAATAAGAGAGTTTTCCTGGTGATATTATTCTTTCAACTTGATATAAATCGTGGTGAAAATATGTCTAAACTTTTTAAGTAATATTAAAGTCAAGATACAATGTAATGATGTCCAAGCACAAATGAATTGACGCTCTTATAAGTGCAAGATTGATATTAAATTTACTAAAACATTGAAAATTATTTCCGGTACTATTTAATTGCTTGAAAGATCTAATTAAATTTATATAGACACTCGGAAGTACTCTATTTATTATTTTACTTTCACTTCAAAATCTTGTATCGATAATTAGTCAATCAAATTAAATAGACCCTCATTGTCACTGTAATTAGCACATAGTTAACTATTTTCCAGTATTCGTTCAAGCAATTAAAGAGAACTTCCAGACAAAAATCAATTAGGTAATGTTTAATTAGGGAGACAGTTACAATATAATTGTGACATATAAAGCTGATCTGATCGTTTAATTAGTTGACACTTTATAAGCATTGATAAATAACAATAAATAATTGCCAGCCCGCATAGCTCAATCGGTTAGAGCGCGAGACTTGTAATCTCGACATTGTGGGTTCGATTCCCGGGCTGGCCAACTAAAATTACTAATCAGTCTTTCGGATGAGACTTTAAATCGAGGTCCCGTGTATGGGTGCTTAAACACTTGGCACGCTAAAGAACCAGGAGAAGCTTCTGGAATTTGGGCATCTTTCTGTATCTGTAATTGCACTATCCTCCAAAAAATAAAATGACTAATACTCTTCTGGAGGACTCGCCCATATGGGCAACCGGTGGCGAGTATAAATGAACGCAAATACACACAAAAATAAATAATGAATTGTGAATATTCATTCTTGTATTTCATGAATGTATGCGGAGTTATTTATTTGAAAATTTTTGATAACTGTAAAATGTTATGGAATTAACATACATAATTCAGATGTAAAAATATTTAATATATAAAGAAATGTATTTTGTATGAATAACATCTGGGGATTTAAAAGTGATAGACGCATATATATTATTTTGTGGATATTTAGAGTATAAAATTTAAAAAAAAAAT